AACCCTAAACCCTAAACCCTAAAACCCTAAACCCTAAAACCCCCTCTTGTCTTCACATCTACCCCATCATTTTCCCCACTGAAGAAATTAGGGTTTAGTGTTTAGGGTATACAGGCTCTTAATGGGTCCTAGGGTATCATCAACTCTACTCCTATACAAAAAATGAGGGTTTAGGGTTTAGGGTTTAGGGTTTAGGGTTTACCATTTCATTAATAGGGCCCAAGATTTCATCAACTCTGCCAACTTCTTCTTTATTAGACAGGAAAATTCTTCCATTAAAATAAGGGACTTGTTGCTGCAGCAAACCCTTAACCACTAATTCATTCTCTGCTGCATGCATTACCTCTCCTGCCTCTGCACACAAACCATAAACCCTAAACCCTATACCCTAAACCCTAAACCCTCCCAATTTGGGAATCTAGGGTCATCATATGGCGAAAAAACCATTTCGCTAACGTCTAGGGTTTAGGGTTTAGGGTTTAGGGTTTAGAGATGCACCAATAATTGATTCTGGAGGTCCTTGATTAAACCCTAAAAAACAAACCAACACACAAAACTTCTGCATTTGCTGCTGCTGTTGCTGCTCCTGCTGCTGCTTTGCTTGTTCCTGTTGCTGCAGTTCCTACTGGTGCTGCGGTTCCATTGCCTGCTGCTGCTGCTGCTGCTGCATTGCCTGTTTCTGCATCTCCTACTGCTCCTGCAACATAACCAGCCTGCTCATCAACTCGCTGGCTGCAGATTAGGGTTTAGGGTTTAGGGTTTACCAGCTCCACCTCCTCCTCTGCCTCCTCTCATGCCGCCGCCACGGCCACCGCGAAAACCGCCGCGAAAACCGCCGCGACCCCCGCGGCCACTCATCTGCAGCAGCAACAGCAGCAGCAGCAACAGCAGCCAGAGCAGCAGCAGCTGTTTATCCTGCATATAGCCTAAGTGATATGCATGCATGCATGCATGCATACGGTGGCCGCTGCTGCTGTTGCTGCAGCAGCAGCAGCACAAGTTCGTTCATCCGTCTGCTCTGCGCTGCACAGCCGGCGTAAACACTAAACCCTAAACCCTAAAACCTGCAGTCGTAAACCCCAGGTCATAAGTTTGTCTTCATCCTTCAGCCAACCCTAAACCCCTAAACACTAAAACCTAGACCCTAAACCCTGGGGGCCTACTTTAAGTCCGGATATCCACGGATTGCAGAAACCCTTCTGTAATTATATGCGAAAAACACGCGATTAGTGTTTAGGGTTTAGGGTTTGCCGTCAGCGTGGGGCCCCCAAACAAGACCGCGCCTGTGCTGCTACTCAGGAGCAGCAGCAGCAGCAACGGCAGCAGCTGCTGCAACAACAAAAAAGCAAATTAGACTTCCTTTTTGGGAAAAAATATTTAAAACAAAAGTAGATTTAATTGGTGGTGTTACCCAAAGAAAATACCAGGGCCCCCTGCATGCATGCGCTGTGGGGCTTCGATTTCGCTTAACCCTAAACCCTAAACCCTAAACCCTAGAATGCAGCACTGTACACAAATAATAATATACTATAAAAATTATTTAATATTTATTTTATAGGGGCTTTTTCCCATCAAAGCCTTAGGACCTACACAGACCCTCTATCCTCACTACAGCTTCCCTTGGCTACAGGAGGGTTTAGGGTTTAGTATTAGGGTATACGCTCATTAGACTTCCTAGGGTTTACGGAGGCCAAGCTCATCGCTAGGGTTTACGTACAGGGTTTAGGGTTTATAGTTGAGGGTTTGTGGCTTGGGTAGCTATCCAAATTCCTTTCCCTCCTGCGTTGATTCAGGGTTTACAGTTAGGGTTTAGGGTTTAGGGTTTAGAGTATACGGATTTATGCCCTTACTGGGTGCCACTCCTAAACCCTTTAGGACACACAAGGAGCAAACAGCAAAAAAGGTCCTGTTGTTGCTGCTGCTGCTGCTGCTGCTGCTGCTGCTGCTGCTGCTGCTGCTGCTGCTGCTGTTCCTGCTGCTGCTGGTTGAGGGTTTAGGTGACTTAGTTGTTGCAGAGGTTAGTTGCGTGGCTTCTTTCTTCGTACTAACGATCATGAATAATAATAATAATAATAATAATAATAATAATAATAATAATAAATAGTAATAATAATAGTAATTAATATACAATATTAATTAATATTATAAAAAATAAATAATAATAAATAATAATAAAATTTTCTTTGTCTAGCTGCTGCTGCATGTTGTATACGTATACAGAATCTGTATAGGGTGTAGGGAGGAAGCATATAATATATATTATGTATATATAATATATATTACGTATATATAATGTATATTATGTATATATAATATATATAATACATATAATATATTTTATATATATTTATATATGCATGTTATATATTATTATTACTGTAGATAATACATATTATATACATTATACGTATAACTCTCTGCTAGTATATATAATATATATTATATATAATATATAATATATATATTCTATATAATATAAATATTATATATTATATATATT